GATTTTGTGTACATGTAGGCATATTTTTGGCCATGTTATGTATTGAGAAAACTCGCGCGCACGTACGTCCATCTTGAACGGACGCTCATTCCGTTATCAATGGTCATGAAATGCTTTACATGGTATCAAATTGTTGGGAAAATTATGAAGATTACTATGTTTCAAATAACAGCGCACACAATATTCCACTTATAGACCGACTTTCTATAGGCATATGCCATGGTCTGAAGTTAATGTTAAGTTTTCTCGAGAACAAAACACGAGTGTTGTTTGGTTTGTGGAACAAGCTAGCAATGTGCTGGTTGCACGTCGTGTATGTGATGACAACACCCAGGTACTTGCGAGATGTCATAGACCCTAATAACACACCTACTTTCACACAATTCCTATAGATGGAACGTTTCTTTGTTGTCATATAGAATAATGTTCCCATAAATTACTGTTTTTATCAGTATGAACATTATAGAGCCACTAGGGCAATATGATGACATCAAATCGGTTAAATAGCATCATATTCAGATTCACTGACCCATATAACCCCAGATTAGTATCAATTTGTGCTATTTTAGCCCTTTTTTAAAATAGAAAGTACAGTCGACATCTCACTAAGATAGCGGCCATTTTGGTTTGACCATTACAGCGGCCCGAGGGGACGTCCTTCTCGGGTGCCAACCAAAAATCGAAATAGTATGGTATGGGCAACCCATGTGCCAAATTTGGTGCTTTTGGAAGAATGTGAACCAAAATATCCCTAACAACCCCCACTAGAAGTGTAAGAAATACACCGAGAGAGAGAGAGAGAGAGAGGGGGGGAAAGGAAAAATAATAGGACAGGCTGAGAACGTGTGTTATGCCTAGTTGACACTTTCACGATTTTCGGTTCCCGCATAGTTCACGCACTGAAATTGCATCATGCGTGTCAATGCGTGGACACTTGCGGGAAGGGGCGGGACGATGCGCGGCAATGCGCGGCAATGCGTGAAGAGCGAATTTTTTTTTCAACATGTTGAAAATTTTGCCACGCACTTCCCGCATTGCAGCAGTGCGTGAACTGTGCGCAAACTATGCGCAAACAAGTCGTGCCAATGCGTGCCAGTGCGTGGCGTAAAAACAGTGGGTACCCCACCCCCGGGAATGTGGCACGCACTTCACGACTAGTTCACGACATGGTCCCGCATAATTTGCGCAGTGGTTGCGCATCCTTCGCGCACTTTCACGCAAGGATCGCGCATATCAGTCACGTGATGCGTTTTGTCAAAATATTCTTGTTTGAGCCAGCAGCAAAATCATGGCTTCATCCTCCTCATCAGATAATGATGGGACAGAGAACACAGAGCATGAAGAGAAAACTAAGCGAACAAAAAGAGCACGTACATCTAAAAGGGATGTCCCAGAGTACAAGTGGACCGAAGACGCTGTTCAATTAATAGCCGATTTTGTGAAGGAAAATTCAGCACTATATGATAAGACCCAGAAAGATTACATGAATGTTGCTACGAAGGGAAGGATGTGGGCGAATGGCGGTAAATTATTGGATCCACCTGCCACTGGTAAGTTCTCAATGTTGATGGTTGGTTAGTTAAGTTCCATACCCATGTTTTAAAAATCCTCCTTTTGTTTTTTGTTGTCTGCATTACTAGTTAATAAGAAAGTAATTTACTGGGAAAGTAATTGTTGATATTTTCCTTTATAGAAATTAAATGTTTTTATTTTTTATTTTTAGGGTTAAACTTCACCACACAAATAGCCTATTTATTGTTTTCCTTGTTTTTAATGTAGGGGACCAGTGTAAGAAGTTGTACGAAAATAAGCGAACTCGGCTAGGAAAGATATTGAACAAGGAGAAAAAAAGTGGATCTGGGCAAACCAACAGAACGACACGTGATGATGAGATAGTGAACACGTGGGGATTTCTGAAGCAACACATTGTTCGTGGCAAGACAACGGCAAGTGACACGGTAGGTATATAAATGACCACTTCACAATTTTTATATTGAAATATTAGAATAACCTTGAAATAACCTTCAGAACCCTTTTCATAATTTTCATTTTGATGTTTCTTCACCTTGCAGTTTGATAGAGGGGAAGTGCACGAACGAGAAGATGATGAAGTTTCTATCATGTCAGTTTCAGAAGATATGGATAATGAGACCTTGATCCCGTTGAAGGATCGGGTCCCAAAGTCGGCACGCTCCGAAGCCTCTGGAACTTCTGGCAGTAGAACTCCAGCTTCTCGATCAAGTACTGTTTTGCAGAATAACCTCGACGATGCTCTCCGTCAGGTAGGCATTATAGAACTTTTTTTTTTTTTTTTTTTTAACAATTGAATACATTACCTAAGCCGGATCTGCTTTCAATAGTTCCATTTGGAAACTATAGAAATTAATTCACAACAAAAAGTATCATTGAAAATTAATTCTTCGACAATCGATTTAAATTTGTTGAGTATATGGCAGTAAATGACAGTAATCAGACCCTGACTTTAATTGCCTTACTAAATTACATTTGGTTATATTGTTTATGCCTTTCAGGTTCTTTCAAGAGCGGATAATTTGGGCCAGACAGCTGCTTTGACAGGTCAAAAAAAGATCGTCCATGATTTTGCCTGTCTTCTGGAGGGCCATATGCAGACAATTCCAGAGCAATCGTGGCACAGTTTCCAAATTGAATGTCTGCAACTCGTTCACAATTTCAAACAGCCAACCAGGCCAACTCAACCATGTCAACAGCAACCCTCGTCATGGCAGTCAAACCAGTGGCCAATCAATAGTCATTGGTCCAATTTCAATCAATGGTCTCCAGCAAGTCCATCCTTCAACAATGTTGGGATGCCAGCCGCGCCTTCAGCTGTGCCTGTACCGATACCAACGTCTTCTCAGCAGTCCACTGCTTCGACCCCACCCTCCCGACGTAGTAATGAGATGGTTTCCTCGGTTCTGGAAGAGCTTGGAGAAGAAAAATAATGTGTTCAACAGCAGCCGGTGATTAAGAAAAGGCAATACTGGTTGCAAAACTAACGTCTTCCATATCGGGATACTCTTTCAGTACTTACCTTAATTCTTACATGGTAAAAAAAATAAAAGTAAAAAAGAAATTGTTATTTGTTGTTGCCTTTGCAAGGAATTTTATTAAAAACCCACTCGGCAAGTAAACCATTTATTTATACATTTGGAACAGAGGTATAATATTTTCTGAAACGTAAACCAGAACTACACACTGAAGAGCAAGGGTAAAATGTGACAGTTTGATCAAAGTAGGAAAATATATTCCAGATTTTTTAATGTTCTGAGTTCCAGGGAGAGCTTCGATGGATATTCTCGATTTAGACATTTTGACATATACTCATGCATGATGCTTTTATCAAGAAACAAAATGAAAGGTTTACTGAGTGGAAGATTAAAGTTAATGCATCTTTTTGGTTCCTACGTTTTTACATTTGTTCTAGTAGTTGATTAGTTCATGTTACTCACTTGTTACAACTTTAAAGTGTTCAAAATATCATTGAGAAATCTTGGTAATTATAACATGTAGTTCAAATTGGAGATTCAGTTGTCAGTCACCATGAAACTAAACGTTATCCTGCAGACTTATTTTCTTTTCTTCATCACACGTTATTTAAATTGCATTTATGTGAGCATATCCAGAATGCCTAAGTTTTCTACTCGGTTATGTTTCTTTTATTAAAAAACACGCAATTCGTGCATTCTGATTGCTTCTGATTACAAGTCTCTTATTACACACAAAAAACAAAACATGTAAAGTTGTTTATATTAAGAGTAACATATTGACAAATCAAAGGCTAATCAAAGACTGCAAAGATAGGTGAATATCAAGGCCTTTAATAAAATGGGTAACTATAAGCACTTGATATTTTTCATTGGATTTCAAAAATGATTGTTAAGTTTCCGCACAATTCGTTCAAGTGCACCTATTCATACGAGATAACACCGTCAACTGTTTGACTATTACAAATACATATGTTAATAGCATCTTCTTAAACGATGTAAAAGCATGATCGTATCAATAAATGATATTCAATTTCCCAGTTTTTCCTATCTCTCACAGATGTTTTGTGTAAAATATGATTGATGAATGGATACAATAATTCATTAATAAAGCGCAAGCTGAACGTCTCCAACGTCAGTCTACCGTCTGATCCGCGTTCAGGAAGCGTTTTTAATTTTCAAAAACGCTGGGCCGACGCAGGCTAAAAACGCAAAGGTGTGACACAGCCTTAACACGTGACTCTTGGTCACGTGTCATGACGTATGTCGTGCACTTCCTGTCTGCTATAGCTTATTATAACTTTTTGTTTGTAAGAATCCGTTTTAATCCATGAGTGGTTATTTTTCAAAACATTCAAAAGGTTGAATCAATAAATGTATCTGTACCCGTGTTTATATCGACCCCCCCCCCCAAAAAAAAACCAAACTGTTCTTCTTGCGTTAAAGGGTTGCAAAGGGGGGGATTTAAAAACAATAAGATATAATAAAATACCTGCAGAGAAGTGCATGGCATACTTCATGCCACGTGACCCAGCGTTGCCAGTTAGCATGATAAATAACTTTTGCGTTATATTCATAACTTTCTTATTTATTGTCCGATTTACTTCAACGTTTTTGGTTTTGTTTTAATTGTTTTGTTTTTCGTCTGATTTATCTGCTTTTAATCAATACAAGATTTTTTTCTGGAGCGGACCCAGTCTTTAAATGTGCGTTCGTGTGTATGTGTGTGTGTGTGTGTGTGTGCGTGTGTGCGTGCGTGTGAGGAGTGGGGTTTGTGCAAGCTTACTAGAAATACGAAATTTCTACATATGCCCCGACACCAACTGCATCACGTTTAAGTTCAACAACAAAGCTTACCAAAACCCCTTAATTTCCTAACAACATTAATTGCTGATACACGGTAGAATTTTTGTGTACATAAAGACAAACACATTATAAACACTGATCTCATATCCTAAGTTTAAAATCAGATGTACAACAGACGGTTGTTATTGGAACGATGTCGGGCCTTGTTGAAATACATAACCATTCAAGAAATAAAATGTCATTTGTGTCAGTGTCATTTGGCATTTTTTGTGGAATTGAGCTAGTGCTATACTGCATCACAATAATGTCATAGTTAATCTGCTTAGGTTATCATCTTTTCTTGCCAGGAAACTGCTCCAGCACGGGAGGTGTAATAATGTGATAGATATGCACGTTGGCTCTTAGCTTCCTTGATAGAAGTGTTTCCTGTCGGAGCTCTCAGACCGTGAAACACAGGGTCGTCTCTCCATGCACCAGGTATCATCGCATGCGTAGATGGATCTTCATGGTCTACATCTCCTGATGCCAGTGGGTACCTGGTTAATATCAGATTATGTAGGACGCAGGCACTCATGATGATTAAGTTGGTAGTTTGGGGCTTCTGCGGAAGTGTAGTCAGGAAACATCTGAACCTAAATCAAGTAATACCATAAAACAAGAGCCCATCAATATGAAATATATATATATTTTTTACGATCTGTACATATGAATCTTGATTTTAAAATAATCACGCTTCATTTGGAGTAAAAACAAAATATTGTACTTGTTATTTGGAGAAACTAGATATACTGAATACTAAAGAAAAAGATCACTATAATAAATACAAACAAAATGAGAGCATCTGCTTAGTGTATCGTTTCAGATTTGTTAGCAATTGCAGTCTCGCATGGTATTTTGTGCGTAAGCTGCAGAAATAGCAACATGTGTTGATAAAATAAACACCATATAAAAGTTCTACGTTATGCTGGTTTAAACAAAGTGGGTTATTATGATAACAACTCCTTTCTGGGGGGAAGTTAAATATTTTTATTCAATGTGCTTGAACTTTTAAAGCAATAGGCACTGAGAATGGAAATGAATACAGAAAGAAAGGGAGACCTACCTGTGAGCCAAAATACCAAACGAGTTTTCCACTACTCGCCTAGCTCGGCTTAGTCTATAACTGAAGATGATCTCCTCATGAACTTGGGACCTATGTGAGAAGGGCTTCATTAGCCAGGGCTTCATCGCAAATGCATCGTCAGCCACAAATTGGAAAGGTATGGGCATGACTCATTGGGCATTGGTTCCGGTGGCGGCACCCCTGCTCTTTCCCCTTCTATGGCATCATACAAGTTGCAGTTTTTCCAAGTTCCACCATCTGAAGAGCCACCCTCTGCTCCAACATCCACATACAGAAACTTATATTCTGCATCTGCTACAGCCATGAGAACAATACTATGGAAACCTTTATAGTTAAAGTACAAGGACCCAGACTTTGGCGGCTTCCTGATTGCCACGTGTTTGCCATCGACGGCACCAAGGCAATTATGATAGTTCCATCTGGAACTGAACTTCTTGGCCACATCCTTCCACCCATCTTCAGTTTTTGGACAGCTGAGTACTTCCTTTTTATACACTTCAATGAGTGCATTACATACTTCGGGAATAAATCTCGATATGGTGCTTTTCTCAACTCTAAAGCTGTACTGTAATGTAGCATATGAATTGCCTGTTGCCAAGAAACGGAGAGTGACGGCTAGTTTCAGTCCAACTTCTAGTGGTTCTCGCATAAACGTTGTTTTCTTCTCCAGATGAGGCGTTAGCTTTCCAACCATTTCCTCAAACAGATCAGGAGTGATTCTCAAGAAATTCTTATAGCTCTTTTGATCCTCCCTATGCAGCTCTGCCAGTAAATGATCAAAATGTCCGTGGATGTGGCGTCTTGACAGCCAATCTCTCACCCACAATGTCCTCCTTTTTCTTTTTCCTTTTTTCTCCTCTTCTCGTCTTTCTTCAAGATCTCTTTCTTGTTGATAAACTATTAATGCTCCTGCAGCTACATATAAACACCTTCTCTGTTCTAAATTAGCTTCTTCAGAATTCAACATCTTAATGACGATAGTTATGCTGAATTAATGAAAAACACGAGAGCGAATAGACGTCTGCCTTGTTTTTTGTGATAGTTAACACAATGCGCAAACTAGTTGTGAATAGTCGTGAACTATGCGTGAACTATTCGTAAACTATGCGTGAACAATGCGTGAACAATGCGGGAACTATGCATGACAGTGCGTGTCACTGAAGTGGCACGCACTGTCACGCACTGGCACGCATTCAATGCGGGGCAGTGCGGGACCAAAAATCGTGAAAGTGTCAACTAGGCATTAGAGATTTAAAGAAGAGAGACAGAAAGAGAGCGTGAAAACTGGAAAACAACAACAATATGCACGTCAGTGAATCAGATTTCATATAGTGTTGTAAATAAAATACTGCACAATACATTCCATTACAGTTACTGCTTTGTTCTGTGGGGAGGAGCAATGTCTTCCTCTATGTTTTTTTTTTTCTTTCTTTTTTTATGTGACGTTATTTAATTATGCAAAATTCATGCGGCGTCTTGTCCAGTAATATGCCTATATTTAGGGTACCGTTTTATAGACGTGTCCATTTAGGATGGGGGGGGGGGGGGGATTATGAAAACTCATGTGATTTCATCTTACTTGGTGTTGTTAGACCTATTTAACTTTTAACGTACGATCATTAAAATCAAATGTATTGCTGGAATTCATAGTCTTTGGTTAGGATTTTTTATTATTTATTTTAAAGCAAGGTTATTTTATTAGCTCCTCTAGGCTACTCGTACATTGTATATCCCAAAATTTTCCATCAAATAATGCTGACACATGGCTTTTATAAATTGGTATTATAGATGTGACCGGTGCATGGCGCGCTGAGGTTCGTCAGCAGATGATATAGAATTAGCTGCGCTGGTAGTACCGACCGGTATTGTTGCGTGATAATTAAGATGTCGAGCATTACCAAACTTCTGTTGGTTGGAAATTTCATTGTCAAGAACTCGAGAAGTGGACGTGCGTTTATGCAAGGCAAAGTGGGGGTGGAAGGGCATCCCGAGGAATTATTTGACATATTTGTCAACGATCTAATTGGGATGCAAGCTGTGGTACGGAAATTGGAAGCTCTTGAGGTGCTTACATCATTTGGAGCCAAGAATATTGTTATAGACAGAATCGCTAAGAAGGCACTGGTCAACCATAACACCAAGGTTGGTAGATCTAGACAGAGTAGTACCCCTATCTGTATTTAACTATAACCTTAATTTTTAAGGATGTCTTAATGCAAGAAATTACAATAATTTGGTATTGGTAACTAACTTATTGTGCCTAGGCCAGATCTAGAGAATGCAGGCAGCTTTGCTGCCTGCGTTTTAGGCTCATCTATCCAAAATAAGTGAGTCATTTTTTCATGCCATCCTAGGGCAAAAATCTGAAAATATTTTAATTTTTTTTTTAGCTAACTGGCATCTTTGTTCTTTCCTTAACTGTGACGGGCTATTTAATTTTTTTTCCCAAGATCATTTCTGTGCCAAAATCCGTGATTTAGACGGGTCGTTCACTTTTTCCCCGTGTTATAATTATAATAATTCCACTGCCATTTTGAAACTTCGCAAACGGTACCCAGCGACGCTTAATGCCGGCATGGCGCGCGTGCGCGGTATCGTTTGCGATGTTTCAAAACAGTCACAGTGGGAATATAACATGCGAAAAAATGAACGACCCGTCTAAATCACGGAATTTGGCACAAAAATGATCTTGGGGAAAAAAAGTAAATGGCCCGTCACTGTTAAAGAAGGAACAAAGATGCCAGGTAGGTATAATTTAAAAAAATATATTTTCAGATTTTTGCCCTAGGCTATGAGGATGGCATGAAAATATTACTCACTTATTTTGGATGAGCCTAAAAAGTTAGAACCTGCGTTCTTGCTGCCTGCAAAGCTGCCTGCGTTCCTATAGGGCTAATAGAATACCAACTTATAGGTCTAGCAAAACCAAAAGCATGATTGAAACCCAGTTTCATCTAAATCCAAGACCAAGGCAAAAATCAATAATAAAATTTAAAAAAACAAGTAGATCTAGCAAACTTTGATCTAGACCCTAGACCCTTGGGGGGGGGGGGGGGGGGGGGGGTCAGGCCTGAAAAATTATTCTTCTTCTTCCAGTTGACCAGTGTTGTTCGAGATGGATCAGCAATAGGTGTTGCTAAAAACAAATATCGGGTTAAATTGAATGTATAAATAATGAAATGGGCCTAGATCCTTTTGAACACTCAACAAATAAGTGGTTGGAGTCTATAATTTGAGGGTATCTATTTGTGATATGATTGGAAAGCTGATTTTAATTGAAATTTATGAATTTTCTTTTCATTTTTATTTCAGTTCTTCTACAAGATTGCAGGTTTTGATTTTCCGGATGAAATCGTACAGAACTACCTAAGCCCACCTGTTCTTAACATTGCACAAGTAAAAGCGTCGCCGACGAAGAAGCGTGTTAGCGTAATGGCGAATGTGGAAGAGGTAAGTGTTTTTTTTTTTTTTTTTTGCAACATTTTAGTGACCACTTACTCGTACGCACGCATTGACTTCTGTACAAATTAAGTCTGTGGACGGAGGTGGAAAAAAGAGACCGCAGCAATGTACATGTATGCCAAGCTTTGTCAGTTGTATGATAATTATTTGTATTTGTGTATTAATTTTACCCTCGATCTGTACGATGTTCTGGGGGCTTTGCTTCCACACCCTCGCCCATAATGGAAGTTTCCCTGATCTGCAAATGTCGAAACATGTTTTTTCGATTTAAGGTTCCAGGGGCTCTTTTGGTAATTGTTGGACTTAAAGTTTGAGCCCATCACCCAAATAGGGATGGATTTTCTGCAAACTGCTATGGAATCTTGCATTTACGATATTGTTTGCTACGATAATCTCATTTCTTGAACCTGGCAATGCTTTTGCAATGAGATTCATTTGAAATGGAAATATAAAGAGTGGCCCTGTAATTTTTGGGTACGGCCTACATTGTATATTTTAGGTTTATAAGTTTTTATTTATTAGTATATTTGAACTATGGGTGAGTTTTGTAGTTCATATTTTGTATTTGTGTAGGTTGGAGAAGTCCGTAATGTCGCAGGAGGGAAGAGAATACGCACAGTCTCGTTAAATGACGGAGAGGAGTCCATTCGGCTTAGCCTCTGGGAAGAACATACGGACATTCCCATTCACATAAATGATCGACTCAAAATCGAGTGTGTGGAGGTTTCGGAATGGAACAACGTAAAACAATTGGATTCGACGTCAGCCATGCGTGTTGAGGTTTGTATGCATACAATAGTTGAAAAGTTGAAAGTGGGTTTGATCCCCGGCACTTATTTCCTTGGGCAAGGCATTTTACTTACATTAGCTTCACTCCATCCAGGTGTAGATGCATACCTGGGAGGATGATATACACGCCTATAAAATGTTAAATGGCAGCTGGAATTGAATTTAAGGAACGGGGTAATAATATAGCGATTTTAGAGCCTTTATATGGGAAAAGTGCATTATAAATATTAATATAGTAATATTATTAATAGCTTTATCATGGATATATGATATCAAAGGCACTGAATTTTCACAAAAGAATTATGATTAAGTTGGTTTAGTTTTTATTATACTGGTATGTTCCAAGAAACGTTTTGATTAGAAGCCCCCGGTAAATATGATATGTAATGCATGACAGAGTTATGTTTTTGAGCAGTGTCACCACAAAGTTTTGATAAATGTCTGGGAAAAAGAAATTGTGCTTTTAGATTTATGCCAACAATAACAATTGATTCAATAAAATCCATATTTGTTCTTGGATACATGACATACATGGTATAAATGAAGAATTGGAGATTGTTACAATACTAGCTGTTATTGTATAGTGCCATCTGTTGTTGAGTAAAGGTCAAAGAATAAAGCCCCTATTTTGACTTTAAGAATAATCAGACAGGTTGATCAATGGGTATACATGTAGGCAATTGCAAAATGTGCATTCTGCATCTTATTGCAGTCAAAGCATTAGCGGAGATGTTAAGCAGGAAGAGTTGGAAAAGCATACAATAAACACCATTTTGGGGTTGTAAGTTTATATTACATGGCATTATGCTATTTTTTCTGTGAAATGTGGATTGTTATTCTATGAATTATTTTGAAATGAATTGGGTTTTAATTTACTATGTTAATTTCAT